TGAAGAAAAATTCTGCTGGCAGTGGCGGATCCCAATGCTTTAATTCCATCGCAGCGAATCGGGAGCAGTGCAACTGTGACTCATCCTTCACGGCACTTTTTCAAACGAATTAGGCACAGAAATGTGGCCAAGAAAAGAGTCGCGTGACCTGGTGCTGCTTATTTGAGCAAAAACCTCGCTGTTACTGGAGCGTTACCTCTTTTATTTATTCTATCCCCGTGACAAGAGCATTAGAAAGTTACGTGTCGTCTATTAGCTATCCAACCTTGCAGGTGTTTCGAGTATCAAAAGTTTTTACCTTCGATTCTCTTGACACCTGTTTTCTACGGTAGTTTTGATATCTATGACTTTTTCTTTTGTAAAAATGTATCATATCAAATCTGATTCTGACTAACCGTCATGTGATTACTGCATTTCTAACTAGTATCCAGGACGTTACATTAATATTCCGCAATTTCAGGCGTATTAGCGGGACATGATAACCGAGTATCATGTCTTGGAGTGACTGAGGACGGTATGGCGGTCTGCACTGGATCATGGGACAGCTTCCTGAAGATCTGGAACTGATTCGTCATGGAATCCCGCGTTTCGCTCCCCTATCGGCCTGCCCCGTCGTCGTCTTCTTCCCAGCACGGCCATCGTCGTGAAGCTCTTCTCATCTGTTCTATGTTTTCGAGTAAAACGCTCAATAATCGGACAAGAGGTGCTGCCGCAGATGTGCAGCTCCAGCTCGGCTTCGCGACGATTCCCCCACTATAGGTGATGTTTGGAGTGTGTCGAATATATCATGGTCTCTCCCACTTTCGCTGCTTTTGCGTCGTTTGAATATCCTTTTTCCTCTTGTTTTACGCTCGTCTTCGCAGTACCATCGTGACAAGCATATACACACCCACCCACCCATACTTTCTCTTCGTCTACGTCTATTTAACTGTTATATGCTCGCTAATTTGTTTCATCTTGACCCTCTCCTAGTTGCGTGTGTACTCTCATGTGTTCAACTACAATCTTCTATTTATTGTTATCGATCGAACGATGTTCGTTTCTCGTTTTTGAGACATGTAAATTGCTACATGGTGGTGCAATGTTTCACCCCCCTGATCCACAGCTCGCTCCTAGTCTCCAGTACCTGTCACCACGAAATCCACATCCACATCCATACGATATATCGTTTTAACAACATCGTTTTTTCGTCATTTTCGTTTCTTGAAAACTGATTAATATTATTGATTTATTTATATATGAATCATTTTTCAATTTTTAATTTTTGACGTTGTTTGTCATAAAACTGAATGCTTTTGGATGTGTTTCAATTGAATTTGTTGAAAAATTACATTTGCAGGACTAGATAGATCCTGATTCTGAAAGTCAATGTGATATTTGAACTGCGAGGCGGAGGTGGTTGTGGTGACTGTTTTAGCTGTTCTCACATTTCAGTCCCACACCATTCCATTAGTGAATGGGGATGGATGCACTGTAAAATAAGCATCAGCGCTTCGAAAGCGCATAATCGTCAGTCATTTTTCACCAGTCGATGGTTAGTTTGATGTATGAAAGGGAATCTCAATTTGGGGATAGTCCATTACTGACCACTTTTTTCACTGGCTTCTACTCAACGGTGAGGGAAGGCCGTTAAAGATATTGGGTCTGGGAACTTTTGCAGAGCATAGACTGAGATGTGTTAGAATTAACTTGACCAGGGGAAGCTTTGAGAGGCTACAAAAGCGTAACTTACAGGATCGGATAAGGGTTAGAAAATGTGTATCACCTCGCGAAAGAGGATTCAGAAGAGTGGGAGGCAAATAGTCATCATCGAATTCAGGGATGGGGAGTGGGTGGTGTAGTGCATGGCGAGCTGCTTGGGAGCTCTGAAAGTAAAGAATTTCATTTTAAAACGAAAAATTGTTGAGAAACGAAAAAACGACGAATATCAACCTATCTTGTTGTTTTTATCCTTTTCTGCAGTTAGTAGTCAAAAATTCCCAAAGACCTGACGGCAACCGTGACGTGATATGCCTAGGAAGAAATTCCACGATATGGTTGGGCATGTTTGATGGGGAATCTCTGCAAGCTGCAGGAAGCTTTTGCATGAATTTAGGCACTTGACGTCTTTTTTCAGTGTTTGCAGAGTCTTGCTTTGAAGTGGGGATAGACACCTAGAAGCCATGGGACGATGGCTAGGGCTTTGAATACGGGATACCGTATTTTTATGGAAAAGTTCTTGTTTTTTTTCGAGTTCTTGACTGAATGGCGGAGTAGTAGGTATCCCTCTACCCAGTGGATCCCTGAAGTGTAAAGAAGAGTCGTGTTTTGAAATGTGAATGATCCAGTAAACGAGGAATTCAGTCATCATCCCACTTTTCCCAACTTTCACCTACCTTACCTTCAGTCCGCTTATTCAATTGGAAGTTTTTTCCGACAACCAATTGCACAACGACAAAATGTAATTATTTGAAATTGGAAACCATTGATTAATGAGTAATTGTGTGTGGGTGAAGCCAGGGAGGGATGTGTGAAATAAAATCGTTTGTGTTGAGACGTTTAATGTGTCATTACTGGTCATTATGGGGATACATCCAAATTACCATGCATAAAATCGTCCAGTGGGAATTCATTGAAATTGAATGCTGGCTCGATCAATCTCATCCAACACCATACTATGCCAGAAAAACATCCACCCAGACCTCTGGGTAATACGGAGGAGGGTAAAGTCAGGTGTTTTGAAAATTCTTAATAACTTCTAAGTACCAGTTACATTCGTTGAATGATTAAGAATGCAGAAAGTGGCGTCGCCATTTCTACTGACATTGCAAATGGCCTCCAGTTTTGGGAATGTTTTCGTTCCCAGCCAAATATATATTCATATAGAGTTTAAGCCATGGATCAGACAGCCTCAGAGAATGACTTCATCGATCTGATCTGCGTGCCACGAAACTTCATACGCTCGTCTACACCGGAACGGAGCCTGGCTAGGGGCGTTCGCAGAGGATCTTGCGACATTGTCACTCCTCTGATGGAGCTCTCTGATTGCAACAAGCTCCGTTTTGTCCCATCCTGCACCTGCTCTCTGTTCGGAAGTTTACTTCAACAAAACAAAGCTCATAAAACGAGTTCCC